TGTGATGTTACAATAAGAGAAGGCCATTTTCCGAGTGAGGGTGAAGCACTCAGCCACCAGTGATGCTGGCCTGATAAAGCTCCATTCTTTCCTCTAACTACAGGCCTATATCTTTGGTCCTCAGCGATTCTCTCAATTCCACTGCACACAGTGTGACTACTGGTGAACCTACCAAGGGGGTAACTGCAGGGATGACATAGTCATGCTCATGAGCTAAGAAGTTTAGGAAGCCACTGACTGTTCCTGCCTCCTTCTTCTTGATACCAGACTTCAGCCGATAGCCACTCCCCAAAAAGATAGAAGGCATACACATCTATGCACACCTGTCTAAAGTCTTTGAAATGTTTTCAAAATAAAAACACAACCCTGCAGTATGAAAATCAAAGCAACCAGAAACAGGAAACCATGAAGTGCTGTATTCCATGGAGAAGCAAAGGGAGATTTTCTATTGAGATCCGAGTTCAACAACACCGACTTGGCAGTCAGTTGGAAATGAACTCCACACCTACCACTCACTCACCGAATGCCCGACTCCTTGGTTAAGCAACGCTCTAATTCGCTAATTTATCCAATATGTTCAATGAGAAGAAGGGCAATGTCAGTCCATGACTTAAAATCTACTTGGTGACAAGGCACACCACTGTTAGCCACTGCCAGGTAAGAAAAACACTCTTGGAACAATTGTGAAATTAATCTACACGGAAATCTTCCAAAAATAATCTAAATTTAGAATATAAAAATATGTAAAACATCAAATTTCCTCTGATGATACTGGCATATATTAGGACATTTTGTAAACAATCTGACTGAGACCTAAAGCAGCAGTCAAAAGCAATAGGATAGCATTCACCTGGAAGCTTGTTAAAAGTATTGATTCCGGTGACTCCCCTAGAAATCCCAAGCTACGTCTGAATGTGAGGACTGCATTCTGTAAGCAGCATCAAGTGATTCTGTCACAGGGGTTCTCCAGATCCAGGATGAAAAGTAGTGGCCTGAGATACTGCCCCAGGTCAGCCAAAAAGCAGGAAATTGTATGAAGGTCACCACGGGCTTCACTCCTTTCCTACTTTCTCTGTAACAGCACCTTACACTTATTGTGAGCTTATAAAATGAGCTACCGGCTTCACTGAGACAAAACTGACATCAACAGACCAGGCTTCCCTAGAATGACAAGCAGAGGACATGAGGGCACGTACACAAGGAGGGTCTGGAGACCAAGCATGTCACCTTCCTGACCACAGGCAAGGGCCTGACCCATGGCAGAAATCAACTATAAATATGTTTATCAAAGGAAAACGGTCTTAGGAACAGCTACCCCTGAGGAACATCACTATTAGGGTTCTAAATACAATATTGTCTGCATTGTTAGGGCACAGGTGCCCTTAAACTAAAATGATTAATTACTCACTTTTTTTTTTTTTTTTTTGTTAATCCTCATCGAGGATATTTTTTTATTGATTTTTTACAGAGTAATTACTCACATCTTGATCTGACAGTTTTTCCACCAACATTTCTTCTAGTTCCTCCTTAATCAGCCATCTGCTGCCAATCAGGTCTCTGTTAAAATATCGCATAGATTCTCTTTTAAATTAACCATGCAATTAGAGTTATATCACAAAGGATCCCACATGTAGTAGCAATTCTTGATTGGGAAACAAATTTTTGTACTATATAGCTGTAAAATTTCATCCAAGTAAACTAATTTTCAGATATAATTTTTCACTTCCTCAATCTACTCTAGGAAAGATACTTAATCTAGCAAATATTTTGTTTGAAGAGTTAACATGCCACTGTGAAATTAATTTGATAATTAAAGCCATCATATTTCTTAAAAATTAAAAGTTCACTTGTTTTTCATAATTCACTTCACAGAAGATGCTTTGAGTGCACTGTGAATCTGCCAATGGGCTGAAGTAGTAACACATCCAAACGAAGGGCCAGGCGTGGTATTTACAACCTCAACAAGATATGCTCAAAGATTTGTGTCTTGTGCATAAGGATAAGTATGTCAATAATCAGGCCGAAATGTAAAACTGGTTGCTCAGGATGATGGATCTAATCTATCACTGTTTGCTAAATGAAAGCTCAAACCTTAAAATACTAAAAAAAAATTAAAGCATGTAACATTTAAGTGTGTAGCTATATACACAAAAATTCTGAGGCTGCCATACTCAAGTATAATTATTAAATACCATTTAGTACATAAATATGGAAAGAAGTACCATAAAAATATAATCTTAATATTTACTTTCTCTCAAACAAAAAAATCACCTACTATTTTGACCTCTAACTTTTAATGATTAATGCTGAAATACTGAACCAATTTTTAGGCTTAAGGTATGCTTTAAAAACACCAATGATAAGGGGCATGTTAGTTCAAATTTTTCATATATTTTAATAGAAGAAAAGAACTTACGTGGTTTTATCTTTTTCTGAAAACAGACCTTTGGCTTGCAACTGATTTTTATGTTTTTCTATATCGAGTATCTTTCCATATGTGTCCTGTGGCAAATAAAATACACATGGTAAAATAAGGGAGATGGTACATTACTTTTACTTTACATTTTCCCTGAGCACCCCTTACTTCAAAAGTGACCTCCTCAAATAATCCAGCTGCATAGCAAGTAATACTGAAAATGCTTTGTAAGAATACTATTTCTCATTCAAACTCAAGAATGGAAGAGTAATTTCAATGAGAATTTAGTATAATGCATACATTAACTAATTTTTAAATAACTTAATTTTTAAGTAACTGTAAGACACAACCTTAGTGAAGTTGGTAAAAACAAAACCAAACCACAAACTATTTTCCTTAGAGTCCCACAAACAGGAACAAAAATTTTCCTTAGAAAAAAATCTTCATTTATATAGCAGTATGTACTTTAAACTTCAGAGAATTAACCAGTAAAAGTTATGGCATTTACAGCTAAAATGCTTATCTCATGTATATCTATATAATATTTAAGTCCTCACTATATAGTTTGTATCTTAAAAATAGTGTTCTATTATATTTACTTTCATTATGTTTTCTTTTATTAATTTACTTTCTAAAGTCTGCGAAATGTATGGCACTTGTTAAACTGTAATACAAATAGGGGGAAATTTTCCATTTTGTTAGAACTTGGCAATACAGGTTTATCAACAAAATACATTTTCCAGGAAATGAGTTTACAACAAACAAAGTAATGCAATTGTTTCCCAATATTTTGTTTGAGCAAACTTATTTGGATTCACATCCAATATGTGAGTATTCATCTATAATTACACATAACCTACTTCACTAATACCTAACGAACAAAGAGACATTTTCAAAGAGTGAGTTAGACATGATGAGTGACGTTTTTTCCCTCGCTACTCACAACATCTTCCAATGTCATTAGCGAATGTCGGAAGACAGCTTGTTGCTGATAGAGATGCTCACCCAGATCACAGACAGTCTTAACTAATCATTTCAGATTTGAGGGGCAATTTCTTATGGGCTTTGATTAGACTGCCATGTTATATCACAATGCTGCTAGTTTGTTCTAAAAGGAAGTATCCCTTTGCCACTGTCTTTGTATTTACCACTGCTTTCATTTTATTATTAATTCAGGAACCTATTTTCAGGAATCCATTTCTCTCATGGGGGACAAAAATGTTAAAAAAAGAAAAAAGAATGTAGTGGGGACAGGGGACATATGTAACATTTTCAATAATAAAGAATTAAAAAAAAAAAGAGAGGAATGTAAACACAGAGCCTTTGAGTTTCACAAATACAGATGAGAAAAGCCGAGGCTAACTCTGTGGGCTGAGACTTCCCATGATAAGGATGTAAAAGTTCATTTCTTGTGGCCGCGGAGACTCAGCAGAGCGCTTTTGTTCTGTTTTCAGCAGGGCTAGCAGAACTGACAGCTCATGAGAGACAAGAAAAGCAGCAGAAAGAAGAGAAGCAGCAGTCTGAAGCTATGACACGGGCTGAGCTACAGATTCTAACGGTGGACATGAGTATTCCAGAGTGAAACACCTACTAGTTCAGGAATTGTAAAGGTCAGGACAGCAGTAGCATCCAAGCCTAAGACTGGTTAGAAATGTAACTTCTCGCCCTCGCTGGTTTGCTTAATGGTTAGAGCGTTGGCCTGCAGACCAAAGGGTCCGGGCCCTGGTGGGGGCTCATACAGGAGGCAACCAATCGATGTGTTTCTCTCTGTCTTTCCCTCTATTCCACTCTCCCTAAAAATCAATGGAAAAATATCCTCAGGTGAGGATTAACCAAAATAATTAAAAAAAAGAAATGTCACTTCACAGGCCCTTCACCAGACTTTCTGAAAAGGAACCTGGCAAGGCCAGTGATGTTAATGATGCCCCCAAGAGATGTGTGGTCACGCTTGGATCTGTACACTAGACCTGTCGAGAGCCGGGTTCGATGCGACAGCAAGAGGACAAAGTAAGTTAATCTGCTTCTAGTGTCCTATTAAGGATAACCATCTCTACAACCACAGCCAAAGTACAAATCCATCAGCTGTAGCAGCAGCAGAACGTATGTGAACCATCTGTCCAACTAAAGAAAGCAAAAGCTAACGTGAACCCTCACAGATAAACATGTTCCTGCTATTCAACTTAAAATTTTACAACTGCCTCCCACACACTGGTAAGCCTCATTTGACTGTGGTTAGGGAACCTCTGAATCATTTCTAAAGGATCAATAGTGGGTTGTGACCCTAATTGAATAGCATATCAGAAAAACTTCTATGCACTTGTTTTGAGAAAGCAATTCTCAAGTGCCCTGAACGGGTAAAATAAAAGGCAAAGTGTCTGAAGTGGACAGACACAGTACAAACAGCATCACACCGGGTGCCGGACCCCAGCCAGACTGCCATGTTTGGGGATACTGGTAAAAGGATGGTGCTAGTTAAGATTCTGAGTGCAGCCCTAACCGGTTTGGCTCAGTGGATGGAGCGTAGTCAGCCAGTGAACTGAAGGGTCTGGGGTTCAATTCCAGTCAAGGGCATGTACCTTGATTGCAAGCTCAATCCCCGGCCCTGGTCAGGACACGTATGGAGGGCAACCAATCGATGTCTCTCTCTCTCCCCATCCCTTCCACTCTCTCTAAAAATCAATGGAAAAATATCTTCAGGTGAGGATTAACAAAAAAAGAAAAAAAAAGATTCTGAGTGGGTAAGTCACAGATGTTGTGTCTTTCAGATCTAGCTAAGGAAACATAAATCCAAGAGAACACCACCAATAGTAATAAGATACTCTCTCCTTTTTGTGAGGGTCTATTTAATTTTCTGGAATAACCAAGCCAACTAAAATAAAATTAACTGACCTGCTTCACAGGAAAGTTTCAAGTCAAAGTTTGGGCTGCTAAACTCATCATCATTTTCAGGTGACTTTTGAGCAATTTTTACTTTAAGTCCATATTTTTCTTACTGTTTTCTTTCACTATGCCATTACCATCCAGTGTTCCACTTGGCTCCATAATAATTTATAAATAGTGCAAGTAAAATAATTAGAAAAATATGAGAAAATAGCAAAGTTCATGTCAAATATCAAGCATGGTAAATTTTGTTCATTTATGACAAATGTTAACACTTTGATGGCTGCAATCTGTCAAATTACATAATACTCATTACGTGTACTTCTTCAAATAGGGAAATATATGTAAACTAGTTAGCACAGTGCCTGACCTATGCTAATGGGCAAGAAATGGCAGCAGTGGTGACGTTTGACATCTGGGAGCCTAATAATGGAGAAACGATCTTCCTGGTGCACCATTTCTATTTTTCTTTTTTTTTCTACATAATACAACCATTCCTGAAATTCTATCTTGGTTAGAAACAACAGTTCTCTGGAAAGTAGACTCTATTGCTTCAACTCCCTGAAGATATGTGTACTAATTTACATAAAAAAATTCTTGAGGGTATAAAATATGCCAGGAACTGTCAATATCACAGATTATCACTGGTAGCTTTTGGTATACTGTTAAATTTCCACTTAATTTTTAAGGGACACTAGAGAATTAGTATGACACTAAGTTTGTATACTGTATTTAATAGTATCTTTTTAAAATGACAGGAATAACCCAGATGTGAAATGCTGAATCATTAATCACAGTTATGATTAATATTTCATAAAATCAAAGTGAGCCTATCTACCCTTGTGCCATCAGATTTCCATAATGCATGAGTCAAATTTAGAAGGTGCCTAATTTGAACATACCAGATGCTCAGGTTCAGGAAAGAAGTGCTTAAAACTAAACCCTTCTGAGCAGTATGATTTTTGGTCTAAAAAAAGCTGATTTTAGTCTTCTAAAACCTGAGTTGGTTGTATTAATCATGTAGAAATTCCAAATTTAGGAAGGGTAAACAAATAACGTTTCTTGGGAGAATGTTATAGGAAAAGTCAACTGAATTTTGATGTACTTATTTACAGTTAACATACTACTAATAATTACCATCTTAGATACTAGACACAAACAAAAAAGTAACACAGTTAAAATTACATATTTGTGTTTTTTATCACAGAAAATCAATTTCCTAAATAACATTTTTCTAGATTTTATGGTTACTGGCATATACAAAATCAAATGAGATAAATATAAATATAATTCATTTACCATAGTTTCTGCTATTTATCTAAAGTTCCAAGCAACATAGTTCTTTTGTATACTCTTGCTATCACTCTGTGAAAACAATATGCTATGCAGTTTACACATCATACAGTGCTAGTCAGCATAAAAAGGGAAATAGACTCTTATACATGGCATACAGAAAAGTACTTTGGGAAAGCACACACAGGAGTAATTACATAAAAAAGCTTGTAACTCTCATACCATATACTTTTACTATTCAAAGTAAGGCTTCACCACATATTATAATAACAATTATACCATTATAAGAGTAATCTGATTAAAACCACAGAAGCAATAAGTTGAATCAGCTTTTAAAATTTAATTTTTAATCGTTACATTTAGTACATGCAAGATATAAAATGGTAATTATTCTAATGCATATTAAAGATACTTCAGGAACAGCAGTTTCTATTGCTGAGTTAATTCCTGAATTGACTCCTGCTGTCAAGAAGTCTTAAAACAGCCCATGAAATGCCAGCATCCGTCTGTAGCTTTCTAAAACCAACCCCTTTACATAGTGTAGGTATTCCGTAACACCTCACGGTGAGAAGGCTGTTTTAATTCCATTTTTACAGATACAAGCAGAACATCAAGAACTTTCAATATTCATCGCAAGGTTACAAAGATGTGAAGGAAGTGAGGCCTGTGACTGCAGGTCCCAGGAGAGGGCTTTCAGAGTCTGGAGTCTTCACCCGAGGAGCCCACACCGCTCCTGGCTGCTCTCCACACGCCTGCACACGACCACAGAAGGCCACACCAGTCACTTAAACTGGAGGATTTTTAAAGAAGCCTTCTTTCAAAAGGCAGCAAATCTTGATTACGCGTAAGTTATCGGAATTAGAATTACTTGGTTTTGTTCCAGATTTTTTTTTAATTCAGCAGAGTAGTTTAATATATAATGATCTACGTATTCCCTAATTTTATACTTTTATTGGAGTAAAAATTTCATCTGTGACTATGTGATTCCTTCAATTTATAAAAATACTTTGAAAATACTCCATTGTTTACTGTAAAACTTGCCCTAAACTATCAATGAGATTTCTATAAGATGATTATTCCCACGGCAGTTTTTAGAGCTGCCTAATCTTACCTTAAAGCCTGGGGAGGGGAGCGCATGTAAAATTTCAATGAACTCTTACTGCATTTGACAGCTTAGCGTTTTAATACGCTTTCCAGGCTCCCCAAGCACTAGTTTCCCTGAATTTTTAAAAGGCGTTCTGGGCAGGAAGGGCTCCGGACCCAGCATGTTTCAGCAGCAGTGTGTTAACGCCACATGTTTCTTCACTGAATGACTTCACAGAGCTGCTCACACTAATAAGTATCTTTTTATTAGTTTCTCAGTCTGCCGCCTCCCCACACTAACTTAACTTCAGAGACCCTTTCTTGGAGATTATTTTATAACCTGTGTGCCTCAGAAAACACGTTGGGAAAGCTGCATATAAACATGGGGACATAATGAATCATATTTTACAAACGGGTTCCCACTTCAGAGTGAAATAATCACCCCCTATAATGAGTTTTAGATAATTTCCAACTCATTTTTTTGTGAGTGAATTTTAAAAATTTCAGAAATGTATGTATTAATAAAATGAGTCAATCTGAATTAACATTTTTCTGAAAATCTAAGGACCTGAGGTCAAACTCAACCATGACTACCTAGGTGGCCTTGCTCAGGATTGCAGCCCACTCTCCCCTTCACCACTGGGCTCGGTTGGCCCGTACAGGCTGCAACTGCTGCGAACGAGGGGTACCCCTGGCAGGCTGGTGCACCCAAAGAGCACATCCTTCTGGCCTATCCCTTACTGGTCCCTCACCTAGACCCCAGCCACTCACAACGCTGTTGCTCAATGGCTTAATAACATTGCACAGACATCCCTCTTCAACAAGTCTTCCCTTTCCTCTACACTTCTGCTCAGCTGTTCTAGGAAACTTCTTTTCTTCTTCCTCTTGTTCTTCATTCTGCTCCTGAAACCCTAAACTGAAACTCTTAAGTCATGTCTAAAAAGTATACAAGTTCTATTGGTAAGTGGCTGTTAAAGAAACAGAAAGCCTTCCATTTGGGTGAAAAAGACAGATGAGCAGTGCCATCAGGGCTGGAGCTCCCTCTTCAGTTCTCACCACCCTTCGAGAGACTCTTGAAGTCTCCTGCTTCTTCTTACTTAAAGGACGGTTTATTGCTTAAGGAATCAGCTGCTAGCACTGTTTTATATTTCTTTTCACTACACATGGACATCATATTCGCTATATTATAAGTGGCATGTTACCAACTTTCCCAGGAATGTGAAGCAGCATATCACTGTCCATAGTAAAATGCAGTTCTAACTCACCTGCTAACGAACTTTCAGAATGTAACACGCAAGTTGGAGACCCCATGGATCAGCAAACTTTCCCTCACTTTATTCTTTCCTATACTTCATTTCAATGGAACAATAAATTGCTTCTTGCTTTTCATCTTCATCTTCCCTCAAAAATCTCCCTGCTTCTCCACAAAAATTAGATGGTCCAATTATAGGCCAACTGGACAGTGTTCACCAAAGCATTATATATCCTTAACTGTAAGCTGTATCAGGACTCCCTTCTATTAGTTGCTATAATGTAATATATAGGCTTAACATGCAAGCAGAGACTAAATACTAAAAGGAAGACTGGCACAGAGGACAGGATGGTTAGATGGCACCAGAAAGGTCTCCTATCAGAACTGCACACATGCTCTAGGCCTGTGTCTTTGTGTCAGAAAGCTTGGCCGATGACTGCCATGCTTCAGTTGGGAAAACTGATATGGCTCAGTATCTTATACATCCTCACGTGAAAAGCAATTGTATCAACAAAAAGAAATGGAAACAACAATCATTCATTTGCAAGTGCTTAACGCTCAGAGGCTCTGGGGCCTACCGCCTTGCTGCAGAGAATGGAACAGCAGCCCCACCACCAAGAGAGGGCAGAACAAAGGAGAGAGCAAACACGTGAAGCAGTTTCCATTTTCACTGTTTTACTTTATGTGCAGTGAGCCCACCAGTCCTGTAAGCCCACCAGAAAGCACTGAGTCACATGCTATTTAAAGCAGCAAACCGGATCTGAGATGATGTTGGTCTGCATGATCTTGGAAACGAGACTGGTGTGACTAGAGCTGTAATTAGTAAGTGCCACAGATGATGCTAAAGTGATGGGCATACATTTAGGAAAACATTTATCCTTTTCCCCATACATATAATTACTTTAAAATTCCATAAAACACATTGTTGAAAATACAAGGTTTTATGATTATTTGAATTAAAATTAAAATGCTCAAGTTAACCCCAAATATCTGTAATTCCTATCTGTAAACTGTTCTGATCAGCAATAAAACCAAACCTAACCCCCATACAGTTTGGGAAGTTCAAAACACCCAAGAAAACAAACTGACCTAAAATTACAGAATTTAACTGAAATATAAAAGCCAAAGAACTCTCCTATATGTAACAGGAACCACATTACTCAAAAAGAAAGTTTAGTAATCAGATGTAATTTGACTTTTCAGTCAGAGTATGCTATTTTATCCACTGAGAAACTAACCAGTTTCTTGAGCAATACCTTTTTAAAAGACATAAACAAAAATAAAGTTAGGCCTCTCTTACAATGTGTAATTTCTTCATTATGATGGAATGCAGCAAAACATCTTGCCCTTGGGTTGCTCAGTTTCAGCCAAAACAAACGCAAATGGCTTGTGGGCTGACAGCTGTTTGATAAGGCGCCTGCACAAGACCTGCATGCTTTACTTTCTCCCGTGAAACTTGGGATGAAAGGCAGAAGGCAGGAAGGGAATTAATGTAGCATACAGTCTAAAGGCAATGCTACAGCCGTGATTAAGTAGAAAAGTTAAAAGGCACAGATTTTCCACAGCTTCGCTGCGTGCAACCCATCCGTGTAACAAGTTGACAGGCCTAGCGCGTCAGCTCCATCATCTCCTCCGACAGCTAAAACGCAGCACTGCATCCCTTTTCAGAGAAAATTTGCGTCTGCACCATGAAGCGTTGTACATTATTTCTTAGCACTGCAGGGGGCTTAAGTCCATATGGAACCTTCACAAATATTACCACAGATCAAACCAGCGGCGTCTGCAGGCAGATTTGACATACCTATTTAAATGAACAGCAGGGGTCCTTGGGCAGCCTCGGGCTGTGCAGAGACAACCTCAGCGGAACGCCTGCGCCTCAGCTCCATTACTCAGCAAAGATACACTCTACATTTATCATTCATTTCATTTCTGCCAGGGCAAGAAGCTCATTTGCCCAAGGTCAACAAAAATGAAAATAAGGTTTTCTTTTTTTCTCCCCCAAGAAATAAATATACCTGACAAGTGAGGATTTTGTCCTTTGGGTTTCAGTCCTAAAGAGCAGAGGAAATGTGTGCATGGGATTCAAGCAACCTGAAATCAATGGGGGAGGTGGGGGAGGTAGGGGAGGAGGGGACGGGACCCAATAAATACTCTAAAAAGTCATACAGTAAATGAAGTAAAACTTGACATGTTCTAAGAATGAAATGGGTTCTGTTGCTCAAACCTGGATATTGGCATCCAGGTCTCCCCAGTAGTTATTCTGGGGAATTCCTGAGTTTACGCATTATCACACATTTTAACTCTGAAAAGGAAACTTCCAGGATACTCCAATGCAGGTGGAAGTCAACGTAATAAAATAATTTCTTGGGTCCTTTTTCAAGTCTTGCTAGACTCATATACTGCATAAGTCTATGAGGAGCAACAACTGTACCTAAGTAACAAAGTACAGTTAACTGTCTGGCTCTCTCCCAAGGTGCCTTGCAGCTCCCGCCACACTCCATAGACATTCACACAGACTCGGCCTGCCCAGCCTCACGTTTTACCTGGACTGCACTGCACATACACGCACTATGGCTAAGGGAGCAGCTATCTCCTATCAGTAAAAGCATTTGAAAGACAAACCATTCTGTTATAAATTCTATAATGTTTATCTTTAGAAAAATGAATAAAAATATAAAGCTTTTAACATACTGTCTTACCTCTAAAAGTCTTATTTTTGTCCATTATGAACCATTCTAGGTACACCGTGAAGCTTAGCAAAATCTCTGGTATAATCAGTTACTTAGCTTACAGTTCCTATTATTTATCATAAATGTTAATATACTTACATGCATTAATGAGTAGTATGACTGCTTGCCAGTATAAAAGAGATAATGAAATGGACGGCCATCTTCTCCCCATTGGGTTGCTGATAAAAAGCCAGATGAAAACAAATAAATGAATAAAATTCACGGAAAGGGACCAAATAGATGTATTTAATTGCAGTTATGAGACACATTAGTAATTCTGATTAACTTTTAAATTAACAAAAACATTAATATTTAAAATTTTAATATTTAGTTTAGCAAGTTTAACATATAAATATTTAGGCTACTTATTTAATACCCATTGACATAAAACAATGTATTTGAGTAACTATTCTAAATATCTCACCATGAGAATTTCTATAACTTCTTAAAAATAAACACACATAAAATAGCCAAAATCATCCGGTTAGGACAAAAATATTTTGGTGTGACTGCAAATACAATGCACTCCCATATTCTTAAAAACAAAAACTGCTAGTCAATAATGTACTTCATTCAGAAAATTAGAAACAGGCATAATAAAAAAAAGTGGATTTTTCCATGCCACATGATTTATTTCAACTATGACAACATACCTCCAAACGTTTAAAATGTCTAAAACTGAAGCGGCCCCCAAAAGGTGCTATGTGTAATTCCCTTTAAAATACAGATGGCCATTCACCTCTAACAAACACCACACAAACTGTGAGTGGAGTCCCTGTAGTAAATAAATCAAACACCAACTCCAGCCCCTGGCCAATGTTCCTCTTGTTTCTGTTAACAAGTTGTAGGAACTCTAATATGTTAAAAATTATACTCCTCTGTCCATTACATAAGTTGTAAACTCTCTTCTCCCAATCTGTCACTTGCCTTTTCATTGTGTTTGTGGTGTCTTTCATAATTGAAAAGTTTAACATATATGTTTTTGTAGAATCTGTCACTTTTTCTCTAATGCAGTGTTTCTCAAATGTTTTTTCATTATCAACCCTTTTAAGGAGCTTTTTTAGACTTTTTTTCCTAATTGCCTCCTTCTCTATGAAATTTTAATACCAAACACACTGCATATCGGTTGATGTGTATTGTGGTGGCCCTTCAGAGAGCCGAAACCTTGTAATAGCTGAGATTTTTTTCACTTCCTCTGAACCAATTTATTCCCCTTTAGGCTCAACATCACTCCCATTGAGAAAGCATGTTTTTAAGACCGTGTGCTTACTAAAAATTATTTTCCTATACTCTGAAATTTTTTTCATGTTTAGAAATTTAATCTACCTGGAATTTACATTTGTGAGACAGAAATGTAACTATTTTGCCCACCAAGGTGAGTCATTACTCATTAGTTTTTAAAATACTATACTTTCTGTTGAAATGCCACCTGAACAACATATAAGTAATCTTTCCCTTCTGAGGGTAACTGGTATTACACATGGGCCACTTTAAGTGAATACACTTGAAAAGAAGACCAAACTTTCACAGTAACTGGTAAAAAAGAAATCCTGATAGAGTTCAGCTTGAAAAATAAAACAAGATTCTTATTCGTCAATGTTTTGAGGATGAATTAAATAGTTCTCCAACATCTCCATCATAGATTGCAAATTTTTCAATATTTATAACTTTACTATGCAATACATTTTCATTACACTGTTAAAGCAATCAGTTAAAAATAAAAATGACCAAGAAAGACAAACATCATGGCCACATATGAGACTTTACTGTAAAGCTTGGAGGAATTTTGAGTTGGGTCTCATTTCATGTGAGTGTTTGAGTGTGTATGTGTATATTTTATTTCATAAAGTATGCATGTATATACACATATGTATATACATATATATGTATGTATCCTATATAATAAAAGAGAAACATGCAAATTGACCATCCCTCTGCTACACTCAAGCCATGCCCACCAACCAATCAGGAGCAAGTATGAAAATTAACACAACTAAGATGGCGGAGGCCATGGAGCTTGAGCGAGCAGAAGGCTTGGGTTGCCCCCGGCAATGGAGGAGGAAGCCAAGCATCCCGCCTGCTCTGGCCGGCCCTGGGCTCTGCTCAAGGCTACAAAGTTTCAATTATAGAAGATAAATAAATCCCAGATACCTGCTTCCAGCCCGCCCTGGCCTCCACTCAAAGAGAGGCTGGGAACCTGGGTTGCTAGGGGCAACCCAGGCTTCCAGCCGGACCTGGATTCTGCTCAAGGCTACAAAGTTTCAATTATAGACGATAAATAAAACCCAAACCAAAAAAAAAAAAGAAAAAGAAAAAGAAAGAAAGAAAAAAAGGAGAGGCTGGGAGCTTGGGTCGCCGGGGGGCATGGGCAACCTGTAAACAGCCATCAGCCCATCACCCAGGCTGGCCAGGAACCCCTGCGGGACCCCCACCCTGATCCGGGACACCCTTCAGGGCAAACCAGCCGGCCCCCACCTGTGCACCAGGCCTCTATCCTATATGATAAAAGGGTAATATGCAAACTGACCCAAACAGCAGAACAACTGGGAATGACTGGTCACTATGACACACACTGACCACCAGGGGGCAGATGCTCAATGCAGGAGCTGTCCCCTGGTGGTCAGTGTGCTCCCACAGGAGGAGCTCTGCTCAGCCACAAGCCCGGCTGACGGCTGCCAGCACAGTGGTGGTGATGGGAGCCTTTTCCGCCTCCTCAGCAGCTCTAAGGATGTCCAACTACAGCTTAGGCCTGCTCCCCACTGGCAAGTGGACATCCCTCGAGGGCTCCCGCACTGTCAAAGCGATGTCTGCCAGCTTAGGCCTGATCCCCCAGGAAGTGGGCCTAAGCCAGCAGGTGGACATTCCCCGAGGGGTCCCAGACTGCGAGAGGGCACAGGCCGGGCTGAGGGAATCCCCCCACCTCAGTGCACAAATTTTTGTGCACTGGGCCTCTAGTGTATATATATAGACTTTATTTCATTCAATCTAAGATGTCACAGATTTCAAGATGTCCCATCATGCATCTTTTACAAAGAGAGAAGAAAACCTGATGGCATGCTTCATAGTTTACATTAATTGTATAATGAATCCTGTTATCAAAGATTAGAGGCCCAGTACACGAATTTGTGCACAGATGGGGTCCGGCCAGCTGGCCCCAATCGGGAGGATTGGGGTTGAGCCTGTTGGGAGGAGGAGATGGTGGGAGGTTGGCTGACTGGCCCTGATCAGGGTGGGGGGCCGATCTGGGGGGAGGGCCTGCGGGAGGTTGGTCGGCTGTCCCCAGCCCCTATTGGGATGAGGGGGACAATCAGGGGCAGGGCCAGCCAGGAGGAGGTGCTGCAGGCCTATGAGGGTGGTGGGGGCCCATCAGGAGTGGGGCCAATTGGGGAGAGGGGCTGCGAAAGGTTGGCCGGCCAACCCTGCCCCGTATTGGGGTTGGGGGTGCAATCAGAAGTGGGGCCAAGTGGAGGGAGGGGCTGCGGGCCTATCATGGTGGGGTGGGCCTATCGTGGGCAGGGCTGGTGGGGAGAAAGGCGGGGGTGGCATTTGGCTGCTGGCCCCGCCCTTGATGGGGTGGGAGAGTCCAATCGGGGTGGGGAGGCTGCGGGGAGGGGTTGTGGGAGGTTACCCATCAGCCCCACCCCCTGGTCAGGCCGGTTTGCTAGTCACAGCGGACGTCATAGCGACGGGTCGTTACAGTTGTTATATATATATGTTAAAATTTGAAAAACCATGTCTTAGAACTCACAAAATAAGGCATAAACAACTGTTGACACCAAATACTCTAATTTGGTCTTCTCTACACCACTACCGCCATTTAATTAAAATTACCTTTTTGCTGCATTTTGATACCTGGTAGGCTAAGCTTCTATCATTATTCTCATTTCTTTTTAAAAACATCTTGCTGCTTCTTGCACATTTACTCTTTAAAATAAACTTTACAAGTTTCTCCCAAAAGTCCTATCAGGACTTTGATCATGAAAATTATATTAAAGTAGCTTGCAATCTTTCTTTACACAAGCATGAAATTATTTTCCATGTATTTAGACGTTCACTTATGACTGACCTTTTAAGTTTTAGAATCTAAATAAAAGAGAATAATCTAATAAAAGAGAAACATGGTAATTGGCATACGACCGCTACCCTTTTCATTGGCTAATCAGCGAGATAATGCAAATTAACTGTCAGCCAAGATGGCGGCCGGCAGCCAGGCAGCTTGAAACTAACATGAGGCTTGCTTGCCTCAATGACAGAGGACTCCAAACATTCCCCGCCTGCAGCTGCAGGCTTCTGAGCCTGCAGTTTGAAACATTTTAACAAATACCGCCAGACTTCAGCCAGCAGGATCGCAACATTGTATGCAAAGGCCAGAAACCTACTTTCAGCATTTTATTCC